GCCACTGAGATGAATTTGATTTTTTTAACAACACAAAAAACCAGCAAATACCTGAGAACGAGGTGAAACTCAACCAGCTTTTACAAACACCAAAAACTCGTCTCTGCAGCGCCACCAAGCACTTAACGCGGCTCCAGTTAATTAACGGGATTTTTTTCCCAAAAAATATCTGAAACGATGCTTTAACAAAAATTGGTGTGAAGTTTCCTTTAACAGACGTCATTTTTTTTTTTTTCGTTCTTATGTAAAAACAAATGAAAATCAGCGGCAGAATCCTTCAGGGTGGGTCGCGTATTTACGCAATTCGTAAGCAGATTTTTTTTTTTTTTTTTTAGGTACATTTTAGACCAACCTTTCAAACTTGTATCTTTTAAAAGTTTCCATAAAAACTGTAACAATAATACATTTAAAAAATCTGGATGGATTTCACACAAGTGTCTTGAAAGTGACTTTTTTAACTCACAAATATACAGTTCCAGTGATATTTGACCAAGGTGTGGGGGCGGGGGGGGTTACCCCTTTTTTCCTATGACAGTGAAGGCATCACTGGCGTGATATTTTGGGTTCAAAAAGTAATCGTGTCTTTGTGTCAACTATGTTAAAGTGTAAATTGCAGCTTATTTGTATCCAAACAAACAGTGATGTATTAGGCTTAAATGCGTTTTTTTTTTCTAGGACATTAAATGCATCACTGGCGCCACCTTGCTTCTATTCAGCTCAGTTTGGCAATGAGATGCAAAGGTGAGCTTTTTTTTTTTCTCCCCCCTCAGTAACTTTAATGATTTTACACATTTCAAGTTTTTTAATGTTAAAACTTTTGTGAATTTTATTGCACATTGAGTCGCGGCGGTTCGTCGTCTCACTGTTTCTGGGAAAATACTGTTGGTTTTTTTGTTTTTTTTTAAAGCATTAAACTGCGGTCGTCTGATGTCCATTTCTGGTTGTCACCTACACCTGGACCTCAAGGTGACATTGTTTTCAGGCCGGCAGCCATAGCTTTGGTGCCATAACCAGTCTGGTGTCAGTGTACTGTAGCCGCGCTGTCGTTAGCTCGTCCACAAGGTCACGGTATCCCTTTATTAGCATAGCGATGTGCGACGTGGGCCAAGTCTCCTCACGCCTGCCAGGTCAGTAAACACTCAGGAGAGAGAGAGAGGGAGAGAGGGAGGGAGAGAGAGTTTTCTGGATGGGATCCAAACCCAGTGTGAAGTCAGAGGTTTTTGTTTCCAAACCTGCAGGTGTCGGCATCGGTTCCACAGGAAGTCCCTCTGTTCTTATTACTGCGCGTTGGAACTAAATGCTTTTGCCACTGTTTTCTTTATTGATTGATTTGAATCGTGATGCAGAGACGCACGTGATCACGTGATCATGTGATCATGTGATATTGAACCGCAGCGTGGATGTAACCGTAGATGTGGTCGTGAATGAGCGCCGGGTCAGATCTCTGTTTATAACCCCACGGCACACTGGTCCATATCCCTCAACTACAGGGGGCGCTGTAAATGCAGTTTGAATGCACTTTTTTTTATTTTTCCAGTGTTGTAGTTGCCCACTGGGAAAAGAAGGAACATCTGGTCCCAGACATAGAATAATTAGGTCACACGTCCAACTAGTTAACTTTGACACAAACCACAAAACTTCCTCGGCAAGATCATAACTTTTTTTTTATTATTTAATGGTTTTAACAGAAACTTTTAAGTCTAATATAGTCTGATCCCACCCCTCCCCCATCCACTGAATTTTTTATTTTTTTAAAGAAACCTGCGTTGTTTTACTGCCACCTACCTGCTAAATAATGTCACCCAGCATCAGTGCACATGAAGACATGTCCACGTCCACTTCCCTCATTTCCTGAAGGAAATAATAAAGTCCTAGCTATCTACCTAGCTACGTAGCTATTGCGCTACGTAGCTATCTGTCTATCTATGCTATAAAATGCCGACTTGCCAGGAAACATTTGCAGAATGTGAACATGTTGCTTTTCAGGAATCACACTGCGTCTTGTGATTTCATTTTTTTTTTTCCCCACCTCCAGTTATTTGTGTCAAATGTTTTGGATTCATCGCGTTAGACAAATTATCCTCCCTCCCTTCTGAGGTTAACCCACGTCACGAAGGCCGAGATCACAACAGAAGTTTGTTACACAATACCAAAAAACCAAAGTTCACCGCCGTGTGTTTGACTCAGTCTGGTGTGTTTGCACTGTTTCTGTCAGCGCTCATTCATCACAGACAACATGTGAGCTGGCTTTCATCACCAGCGTCATCATCCTGGTGGTAATGGTTTCAACTCTCCGTCACCTCTCCGACGGCCGTAGCTTGTTGACCTCGGGTCGCTGCAGCTGTAGAGCCAGGGCTGGAGTCATTCAGTTTTTGCGGAGACAGAGTGGACGCAGGTGTAGAAATCCCTGGCTGTAGATTCACATCTGACGTGACGGCTGTCACAGAAAACAGTGGTTTTGGGGGACAGGGTTTGAATCCCGAACACAAAGGAACATAAATCAAACAGTCAGGATTCAAGTAAAGTTAATACTTTACCAGTGGTTTTTAAAGTGG